TTGTTTTTTGCTCAATCAAAATCATTTAGAACAGCTTGTATTTCCAGGTGGCTAAGTTTTTTCCCCCTGTTTGAATGTCTACCTGACAAGCTCCTAGTGGTTCCTGTCATGGGCTGCAGCCTCCCTTTCCAGGGTGTCCCAAACAGCTTAGAGTGGCTGGGGGGTAAACAGTGACAGCAGAAAGGGATGCCTTGGAGGGGTTCACTAGCTCCAAAAGCATAGGTCCTTAAGAGGTACCCTGGATGGACTGCCTGACACTAAGAAGGAGAAAAGTGAATTATCTCCTTCTCACAAGTTCTATTCAACAACACACTGAATGGTACAGACAGGGCCACCCACCCATACAGTAGCCTCTAACTCCTCAACTTTCTGGGCTAGCACTCAGCAATACATGCTCAGCATAGTCCTGCCAGAAGGGAACTTCACTGCAGGAGTCCTTTCTCAAATCATAGTCATTCAGAGTGGCCCAGTGACTCCAAAACCTAGGGAGCCATAGAAAAAGTATCCTCCTCTTACCTGGATTGAAGCTTTGAAGTGGTATCCCAGGGTGTGTTACTGGGATTGGAGAGTCTTGGCAACACTCAGAAGAGGCAACACAAAGCAGTGTGTAAGAACACTAGCAGGTCACTTTAGGTAGCATGGACATTTTAACAACATTGATTTTGCCTATCCATGAGTATGATATGGTTTTCCATCTGTTTAGGTCCTCTGCTATTTCCTTCCACAGTGTTTTGCAGTTCTCCCTGCAGAGGTCTTTCACCTCCCTGGTTAAATATTTTCCTAAGTATTTTATTTTCTTTGTTGCTATTGTGAAAGATATTGCATCTTTGATTTGATTCTCAGCTTGAATGTGATTGGTGCATATGAAAGCTACTGATTTGTGTAAATCGATTTTGTAGCCTGAGACTTCCTGAATTTATTTATCAATTCCAGTAGTCTCTTGGTAGAATCTTTGAGGTTTTCTAGGTATAAAATCATATTTTCAGCAAAGGGCGATAGTTTGACCTCTTCTGCCCCCATTTGGATATGCTTGATTTCCTTCTTTTGTCTGATTGCTTTGGCTAGGACTTCCAGCACTGTGATGAATAGAAGTGGTAATAGAGGGCAACCTTGTCTACTTCCAGTTCCAAGTGAGAATGCTTTCAATTTTTCCCCATTCAGGATGATGTTGGCTGTGGGTTTGTCATCTATGGCTTTTATCATTTTGAGGTAAGTCCCATCTATGCCTATTTTGTTAAGCGTTCTTGTCATAAAAGGGCACTGAATTTTGTCAAATGCTTTTTCTGCATCTATTGAGAGGATCACATGGCCTTTGTTTTACTTTTATTTATGTGGTGAATTACATTTATAGATTTGCATATGTTGAACCATCCCTGCATCTCTGGGATGAAGCCCACTTGGTCATAATGGATTATTTGTTGATGAGAAGCTGAAATCAGTTTGCTGTGATTTTTATTGAGAATTTCTGCATCTTTATTCATAAGGGATATTGGTCTGTAGTTTTCTTTTTTTGTTGAGTCTTCTGGCTTTGGTATCAAGGCGACGGTGGCTTCATAAAACATGTTGGGGAGGATTCCCTCCTATTCAATGCAATGCCTATTAAAATACCAACATCATTTTTCACAGATCTAGAAAAAATTATTCTATACTTCTTATGGAACCAGACAAAACCCCATATAGCCAAAGAAACCTTAAACAAAAAGAACAAATTGGGAGGCATTAGTTTACCAGACTTCAAGCTATACCACAAGGCTATAGTAATCAAAACAGCATGATAGTGGCATAAGAACAGAGACATACACACCAATAGAACAGGACTGAGAACCCATATATAAACCATCCTCATACTGCCATCTGATCTTTGACAAAGAAGACAAAAACATACACTGGGGGAAAAAATCACTATTCAATAGATGGTGCTGGGAAAATTGGACAGCCACATGTAGAAGACTGAAACAGGATCTGCTCCTCTCATCACTCACAAAAATCATATCACAATGGATAATAGACTTAAACCTAAGGCATGAAACCTTAAGAATTCTAGAAGAAAATGGAAAAACTCTTATAGACATTGGCCCAGGAAAAGAATTTATGAAGAAGACCCCCAAAACAATCATCACAACAACAAAAATAAATAAATGGGACCTTATTAAATTAAAAAATTTCTGCACAGCCAAGGGAAGTATCATTAGAGTGAATAGACAACCTACAGAATGGGAGAAAATATTTGCATGCTATACATCCAATAAATGGCTGATAAATAGAATCTATATAGAATGCAGGCAAATCAGCAAGAAAAAAATCAAACAACCCCATTAAAAAGTGGTCAAATGACATGAACAGAAACTTTTCAAAAGAAAATAGAGTGATGGCCAACAAACATGAAAAAATGCTCAACATCTCTAATCATCAGGGAAATGCAAATCAAAACCACAATGAGATATTACTTAACTCCATTGAGAACGACTTTTATCAAAAAGTGCCCAAACAACAAACGTTGGCATGGATGCAGAGGATCACTGTTCTTTATTGCCCGGGTCTTGAAACCATCATTTCACATCTTTTGTTTGTTTCTCTAGTTGTTCCAGGTAGGAAGGTAAATGTACTTCCTATTTCTTCATCTTGAATAGAAGCAAAAATATCTTTTTCATTTATCTTTTTAATTTTGCACCAATCTATTCCTCCCATTCCTCCACTATACTTTCTCAATTAGGCTCTTCTTTTACTAGATTTTTGATATAACATTCCATTCTCACTGCATTTACACTTGCTCTCACCTTGATTTTTATCCTGGCCACCAATCATCCTCCATATTGCCACCAAGATGAGATGTATAAAAGACAAAACGTCTTGATACTCCTATGTTTAAAATCATTAACATCATTACTTGTCTACCACGTAAAGTTCAAATTCTTTAATATGGAGTGTAAAACCCTTCTTCATGTAGCCCTTGTTTACCTCAGCAACAATAACAATGTTATCAACAGCACTTACTACGACAAAAAATGGGTGCTATTGAGTGTCTGCCATTTTTCAGGGACTAGTGGATGTCTTGTTGAAAATGAGATAGTTCCTATCCTTGGTTATCTTAAGATTAGCAAGTAAGATAAACAATAAATATAAAAAAGTATGATTGACAATCTTCGTAAGTACAGGCTATCGTGAATGTATATTTTCTGGTGTAATTAAGGGTCAGAATTATTTTTCCTAATGAAATGGTGTTTAACTGAGAAATAGAGTATGAGTAAGAGTTAGCTCAGAGAAACGTACTGATAGGTAGCACAAAGTGAAAAAATAATATGTATGAAATATCATGAGACAGGGAAAGATTTGACATGCTCAAGAAATGAAAGGAAGCCAGTGCGTCCTTGTTGACTGGATTATAGTGAATGTCTCCTTGGAATGCTGGAGATATTTCTTTCATTTATGAACCATCACTAATATTGTTAGGTAACAATAAATATTGTTAGGTAACAATATTTATGCTATGAGGAATTATTAGTTCTTTCTAGTTTCCATATTTTTATATGCATATACTCATTTGTATGTGTTCTTTCTTATGACTTAAACCCCTTTATCTTTCATCCTTTTGGAAAAGTTCTTCTCACCTTTTAAAACACAATTTAAGCCTCTCCTCACAATGAAAAAGTTTTCTGTTCCCTTTTTCCCAGTAGATATGACTACTTTGTCCATTATTATTCCCCCTGTGCTTTAAATCTATGTTCATTATTTCTGTCATATATGTTTCCCATACTTGAATTTGAGTTATATAGAGCTAAAATCATGTTTTGCTAATTTTTGTTTCACCATTTGTGGGATCAGTAATAATCATGGCTAATTCTATTGATGTGTTCCATCCCATTAAAAAAGAAATACTAATGCTGTCTGTGGACAACCTACACAAAATTATTCATTAAGCACATTCAATGATGGAAATAATATTAAAAGTATATATAACAATAAAACTATTTAATCATATTTTGCCTGTTTTATTTTAGTTTTTAATACATAGTGTAACTGCATAACAATTACTGCTTTTTATGTGTCTAATATATTAGTCCAAAAATCAAAAACATTCAATTTAACCAGATCAGTATAAGAGTATTTCCTCCCCCTTTTTTTTTTTGTAAATCTGTTAGAAATGTTTCCCAATTTTCTTTGGTTGTTTCATGTCCCAGATTGGAGAAAACATGAGTATGAAAGGAAACCTCAGCTCTTTCAATGACTTCCCTTTCTGTATTGACTCCACCTCCATTTGTAACTTTCCCACTTTTGTGAGAGTGAGGTAGTTTTTAGAATTCTTGGCAGTACTCTTCTTTAGGAGAACATTTCTATGGAATAATACAAGAACATTTAGGAATCATTAAAATCATAAAACTTTGGAATGGACAAATTCAGAATGGTGACACTTGATGACTCTGGATCTGCAGGTAAAAGTTTCTCATTTATTCTAAATTTACCCTTTAATGGAATATAGAATTATTCTGATAGTCAATGGATATGATTTTAAAGCGATTGGGATCAGGAGAGTAAGGGATGGGAAAGGACATTAAGCTTATATGACAGCACCTTTGATCTGCCACAGATTCAAAATTAAAGATGGGAGAGAAGAATCCAAGTTGTCATCAATCTTGTAAAACTGCTGAGGTGAAATAAAATCCAGAAATGAAGTTAACTGAACTATACTGAGTAGGAAATCAATAGTTGTAGAAATGAATATTGATTGAAAGTTAGTTGTCTAGAGGAAATTCAGAATAACGCCTCTGAGTACTAAAATCTACTTCATGAATTACATGGTCATGTTAAAATCGGTTAGCATTTTTACTTTTAAATTAGTGTTGGATTAGAGTCACAAGGACAAACGAGAGTAATAACAACATTAAGGAGTGTTTTATGCTATATCTAGAGATGATAAGGTCCAATATTTGGGTTTTTCAGGCATAAGCATCATCACGTTACTCTATCAATGTATTGTTCAGCTATTTGGCAGGCACTGTGCCAGGGACTGGTGAAACTATGGTGAGCGTGATTGATATAGTCCATTTCCTTATGGAACTTGCCCTCAAGCAGTGTGGATCAGGTGGACATGGAGACGGGAGAATCAGCAGCTGAACACTGAGGTCGGAGGAGACAGAAATCTCAAGAGACCTTCCCTTTGCCTGCTCAGAGAACTGCCCACTACTAAGTGTCAGTGATGCCTTTCCAATTTTGCATGGTTTTTTTTTTCAATTTTCCATGTTTTAAGATCTGCCCCTAGGTCGCCTTTAAACATGAACATTTTCAAAGCTATTTCACTGAGACTGCATGATCCTGGGTATGAATTTTTCCTGTCCGCCTTTCCGTTTAGAAGGAAGTATTTTCTGTTGACTTCCTTTGTTAATCCTGAGCCTCTGAAACCACCCGTCTTCTCCAAAGTCTCTTTTTGGGAAGACTATTTTTGCCCTCTTTCTTTTTTCACAGACTGTAGAAGATGTTTCATCTGCTTGAGTCCCTTCACTGTTGTTATGGTCTCACTTCTCAGTGCCAGTTTCATCATCGGTTCTCTTGGTGAGTACTTTGTCAAGTTTGCTTACAGCCTTAACCCACTCTCACAAGAATTGTTAAAAAGCAAATAATTCTCCTGAAAGCTGAGTAGCATCTAAAAACTAAGTAACATGTTCCATGGATACAAAAGATCAGATATTAAAAGCACTAAATAAGAATCTAACCATGGGACACTGATATATTAGCACGGTTCTCCCCTTAGATAAAATAAACTCACAGGAAAAAATGCATTTTACTTAAAGATTAGAAATAATGTCTAGCTGAAAAATGGGGAAGAATACAGAGGAGAAGAAAATTCAGAATTCTTGAGACAAAAAAGAATTTTAGGAACACATTAATAAATTCAAATGTCAACATTTATCTAAAAACATACTGAAGGAAGCTAAGCTGGTGAAACAAATAGCTTCCTAAGTTAATCTAAAATAATGCCAAGGAGGCAGCTGAGATAATTTGGGGGGAGGAGGAGTGGAGAGAGGTTTATTTTATGATACAAAATAATAGGAAAATATCTCAGTCTCAATTTTCATTGAAATAGATGTTTCAGTCAGATTCCAACTACTATTTTAAAATTCATGCCATTTCACATGTATGTGTGAAATGCTTGTTCGATTTCTTACAACTCGTCTTCTCATCCTCACAATCTACTATCAGCCTTCTTTCTATTGATTTTAAGATTTTGGAGAAACTTATGTTGCTCATCCTTATAAAATTTTGTAGCATCTTATTTAACTGGCAAACTCTCCATGGAGATTATATAAATCACCACTATTAAGAATATCCAGCCATAAAAGAAAGATATCATATAGTATTGTGTTACTTAGCATTACTGGTTATATGTCATTGATTACTTTGAAGCCTGTGATACTGACATTTATATTTGAATGCCTATGAAATTACATTCTCCTTTTGCACCACAGATGGAACCGAAGCAGTTCTCAAATCTGATTTTGAAAGATAAATAAGTAATCTGAAGATTAATAATTCTCAACCTGTTCCTTGTGACCTTGCCCAATTGCTGTCTTAACCCATTGTTGCAGGAGGAACAGACAAGGAGCTGAGGTTAACGGCTGGTGACAACAAGTGCAGTGGTAGAGTGGAAGTGAAAGTCCAAGAGGAGTGGGGAACAGTGTGTAATAACGGCTGGAGCATGGAGGAGGTCTCTGTGATTTGTAGGCAGCTCGGATGTCCAATTTCTATCAAAGCCACTGGCTGGACTAATTCCAGTGCAGGGTCTGGACGCATTTGGATGGATCATGTTTCTTGTCTTGGGAATGAATCTGCTCTTTGGGATTGCAAACATGATGGATGGGGAAAGCATAACTGTACTCACCAACAAGATGCTGGAGTGACCTGCTCAGGTAAGACTGTATTAGTCAAAACCTCAACATGAAATGCTCAGTGGGAAAAAAATATGTAGATGGGTTAAAAACTAACATGAGCCACTTTTCCCTATATAATCTAGTCCATGTATAAGATTGCCCAATCTGTTGCTAGCAGACCAGAAAACACATGACAAAGCCCATATTTAAAAAAAAAAAAAAAAAAGAGATCAAGAGAGATTTTTTTTGTTTGTTTTTGTTTTCCAAAGATGAATGACATTTACACTATCTGTAGCTAAAGTTTAAAAAAAAAAAAAAAGAAGATCAAAAAAGATTCTAGACACTATGATCAATGAGGAAGTGACTGGCTTCAATTTTATATTTAGGAATCCTACTGTAACCTCCTATTCCTACATAAAAATATCATGATATCTAAGTTACTTCCTTGTCCACTTTCCCATGACATGTTGCTTTAATGCATTAACCCATAACTCATTACCCTTTTCTCCAATAACTGATAATCAACTTAGTGAATCAAGAAACAAATATTCCTAGCATTAATACATCCTTTCTTGTTGGAGGAAGGATTCTTTGAAAGCATAATTGCTTTTTCCAGTGTACAATGCTATTCATTTCATTTACATTATAGTTTTAAATTATGAAACCGTTTCATAAGTTTTACCTCAGGTCTTTCTGGTGACAAATCCCAGGTCATGTTTCTGATGCAGTGCAGATTCCAGGCTCCCTGTTTCTCTTTGCTCATTTCATTGGCCTTTACACAGCCCTCTCGTCTCCCAGCCTCTCTTTTAGCGACCACCTCACCCATAAGACTGACAATAAAAAGGACTGATCTGCACCAGGCATTGTGATGTAACGCGAGCAACAGGCAAGGATCTAGAAAACTCCTGGATTAAATTCTAGCACAGTCACGCATTAGTGCTATGATTTTGTGCAAGTTGTCAAATCTCTCCAAATTTCAGTTTCTAAGGACTTCATGCTATAATACATGTAAAGATACTGGTACACTGTCTGGTATGATAGTGTTAAAATGTTAGTTTCCTTATAGCTTCCTGCCCTTCATTACCTTGAAGACTCAGTTCTCTTTCTTCTTTCTCTGTTTTCTTTCCTCTTTCTCCTCCTCTTTTCCTCTTATTGTTAATCATTATGAGGGGGAGAGGACACAGAGAATAGCAAAAGTAACATCTATAACAAAGCTTAAAATCATTACAAATTTTACCAGGGCCTTATCATAATTATCATTGTCTATAGAGCTCGCTGTTAAGCTAAGACATCGGTGTAGTACTTTTATCTCTTATTTTCTGTTGTTTTATAACCGAAGACAAAGTTAATCAACTTGCCTTTTGCCATTTATACACCTAAAGCTCCAACTGGAGCATAATAATAGAAAAGATCCTACAGCCATAGATCCCTGGGGATGCAGAGTCTGCATTTCTGAGATTCTTCACACTAATTAATGCTCAATCCTCAAAGCCTCTACCTCTTCAGATATTTTATTATCCCATGCATTGAGGCAATATAGCTAATGGTCAAAAGTAGAGACTCTGGTGCTAGACTGCTTTTCCCCCCACACCCTGGCTCTACCATTTTGTAGATGTTTGACCCTGTGCCAATTATTTAACCTTAGATTGCTTACCCCTGAAGTGAGGATATTAGTACCTAATGCTTAAAGATATTGTGAAGACTAAAAATGATAGTATATGTGATATGCTTAGAACAGCTTATGCATATTTTGACTGCAAACTCTTATTCTTTTTATTATTAATTATTACTATTAATTGCCCCCAAGGAAAAAAATCTTGTCAAGGAAAGGTCTTTGCCTGGAGTTTAGAGTTTTTAAATTGAGTTCCTTTTTCAGAAAAAGAACTTCTAAACATTTTGTTCAAGCACAACAGTTTTTGTTTTTCAGGTCCCCCAAAATTTTATACAAATTCTCCTTTTCTCAGGTATTTTAGTCCTCATAGAAAATCTAAGTGATAGTATATAGTTAGAAATTTTTTTATGAAAAAGCTATTTGTTGCTAAAAATGGTATCAGATGCTTTGGGGAGGAAAAAAAAAGCTTCGCTTCAAACAGGAAATGGGTAAGAAATGAATTATTTTGATTGATGTTTTCCCTCAAATTTTAAGCATGTGGTATACCACAGGGTGCTTTTGCAAACTATTATGCTGGCTTATGCATTTTGTCTTTGCTTTTTGCTGCTTTCTTACCGTAATTACTTCAAATTCACCTTCAGTCAATTACTCATGCTCTGAACTATTTATAATAAAGAAAGGTTAAAAGAAAGATTTTTAATGATCAACAAATGACTAGTTCGTCATATTTACTTCCTTGTATGGGCCAATTTTAATTTTTTCTGTTTTTTTAAATAAACAATTTGAGTCAAACTTATCTATTTCTATATAAAAAGTATTTACTTCTGTCCAAGTAATGGAAGGAAACAAAACAAAACAGAAAGTTTAAAAATTTCAATCCATAAGACATTTTCCTTGATAGGTAGATGTGGATGAAAGTCCTAATTATTAACTCAATTTTAACATATTAAAATTCTCCAACATGTGCAGCTGTGCAGCATCCAAAATCAGGCACTATGTTAAGAACAGCATCAAATCCCAAATGTGTAGTAATTTTTCCAAAATCACTTCTGAATTAATATCACTTCTAAAGTCTGTTCTTTTCTCTGTTCTAGATGGATCCGATCTGGAGATGAGGCTGATGAATGGAGGGACTCGGTGTTCAGGAAGAATAGAGGTCAAATTCCAAGGACAATGGGGAACAGTGTGTGATGATAACTTCAACATAAATCACGCTTCTGTGGTTTGTAAACAGCTTGAATGCGGAAGTGCTGTCAGTTTCTCTAGTTCAGCTACTTTTGGAGAAGGTTCTGGACCAATCTGGTTTGATGATCTTGTATGCCATGGAAATGAGTCAGCTCTCTGGAACTGCACCCATGGAGGATGGGGAAATCATAACTGCGATCATGCTGAGGATGCTGGAGTGATTTGCTTAGGTAGGGACTGGGCTTGGCTTATTCTGTTCTCCCTGAGAGAACAAAGGGAAGGGGTGATAGACTTAAAGAGCCTGAACTCTTAAGAACGTAATGAAGTCCGCTTCCTTTATCATTTTAGCCTCTTTTCAGTTTCCTGTCCTGGTACCTGTGGAGTTTTTACCTTGACTAAAATTAGGAGAAATAGGTTTGGGAAGAAGGATGAACAGTGACACTGAGATCCAGGTCATGAGGATAGAAGGAAGTGTTTAGGAAGAATCAAGAAAGGAAGAAAGAGAGTGAAGAAGGCAGGCAGGCTTAACTAGAAATTTTGCTCTCTGGAGTGTTGTTGAACCCCAAATTAAGGCTCTTGTACCTGATGCTCAGCCAAAGCCAAACACTGTGACACTGGTGCTTGAGACAGAGAAGAGTTTACTGGATTTGGCCAAAGCAAGAGGAGAGGAGAGAAAACTCTTAGATCCGACTTCCCAAAGAGATGAAGTTAGGAGGTTTGACGCCAGTAGTCAGTAAGGGAGAGGGGAAAGTCTGTTTCTTCAGTCTCGGATAGCATCTTGAGCAGCCAGCCTTCTGAGAATCACCAGCTAACTTCCTCAAAGACATTCATTCCTTCTGCAAAATGAAGTCATAAACTTATCTTGTGACTCTGGAGTTGTCTCCTCCTGCTTGAAAAAAGCCAGTACATCAGCAGTGAATGATTACTGTGAGAACACAGGGTGCCGGGCAGGGAGCAAGTAGTTATTAGGTGTACGCAAACAAGGGCCTCGTCAGAATTTACATTATGTCGGTCACTAAAAATGCTGGGAAACTAAAACCTCCAGGGGCCCGGCTACAGGAGGAGTTGTAAAAGCAAACCATGCACCTTATCATCTTCTAACCAACAAAAGTCTCCCCTTTAGCCACATTCACTTCCCAAATCATTAGTTCAAATTCACAGAATCAAATTTTAAAAAATCAACATTTTGTTTTCCTATTAAAACCTTATTTATGCTAGAACTATGGGCAAGCATGCTCCATGTCTGTCTAGAGACTTTCTCATTCCATGCTTAAGTCAGGGACAGGGGCAATGGGTTTGTGTGTGGAGGGATATCACTCTTCTTTTTTCACTCGAGTTCTCAGTTTGAAGGAGACTTAGTGTGTCTCAAACCCCAGAGAACACTTAGGAAAATACAATTAGACTAAAAATGTTCCTATCTTCACCAGCTTTCTCTCTCTCTCTCTCTCTCTTTCTCTGAAGGAATTTCAATATAAACTAATTTAAAAAGAAGAGAATACTGGCTCACAAAACTGGGAAATCCAGAGGGTATAGTTGGCATAGTTGGCTTAATGCATGGCTGGATTCAAGTGCTTAAACGATGTCACCTGGGATCTGTCACTTTCTCCATGCCTTGAACTGGCCTTTTTCTTGTTGAATGAAGTGACCATCTATGACCCGAACCCAAAGAATGGGATTCTACAGAAAAGATGGGTTTTCTTAGTTGACAAAAGTGAAAGGGATTTGGGGTAGAAAAAACACAGAATGTACCTTCCGTTCTTTCTTACCCATCAAAATCTCTCTAGATCCCCCATCAGCACATGCCGAGGCATCACAGTAAACAGGAGCGTGGAAACAAAAACTGGAACTGCCAGAGGAAAAAAGCAGTTTATTTTATTGCAGGATATTATTCATAATCAAGATTTGTTCTTTGAGGGTTATTGATTTCAGGAAGGTGGAAGTGGTGATGACAAAGCCTCTTTGCTCTTTGCTCTCCCTCTACATTAGACGAGTGGTCACAAAGGGACTTGATACATCATTCAAACCAGGCAGTATGGTTAGAGAATGCAGTCAGGGCAAAAGGGAGTGTTGCCTTTCATGGGGAGACAACCTGAAGTAGGTGGTGCCACTTAAACACATGCAAATATATTCTAACAAGAAAAAGTAAATGGTGTAAGAAAAACTCTGTGGTGGTCAAACAAGCAGGTCTTCAGATAAAATTCAGCCCCTGGACCTGGCATTAGGAACACTTCCTACAGTATGTGCTCTCTGTACAAAAACTCCTGTCTTCTTGTCTCATCCACTCCTCCTTCCACCTTTAATGATATCAGTGGTAGCACAGCATATCATGGTTTTCTCTGTCTCTACTTACTTCTCTCCTTTTCCCCTGGTCTTAGCTATAGCATGTATAGTCCCTTGTTCTTGTTTCCTTGTGGCTGACTTGTGTGTTGCTGTTACAGATGGAGCCGACCTGAGCCTGAGACTGGTAGACGGAGTCACTGAATGTTCAGGGAGATTAGAAGTGAAATTCCAAGGAGAATGGGGGACAGTGTGTGATGACGGCTGGGACAGTAAAGATGCTGCTGTGGTGTGTAAGCAACTGGGATGTCCAACAGCCATCACTGCCATCGGTCGAGTTAACGCCAGTGAAGGATCTGGACACATTTGGCTTGACAGTGTTTCCTGCGAAGGGCATGAAGCTGCTGTCTGGCAGTGTAGACACCACGAATGGGGAAAGCATTATTGCAATCATAATGAAGATGCTGGTGTGACATGTTCTGGTAGGTTAGAACAAAACTAAACAAAAAGAAAAGCATAGAGAGAGACCTGTGCCTTTTAGGAGTAGGAATAGAGGTGAAATGTGAGAGGTATAAGTACATAATAAATTCCTTGCTAGGAATTCCTTTATAATTGTGAGAAATCTTTGATGCATTCCTTATTCGACTAGTTTGAAGGGTTGTCTGACTCTATTCTCTGTAATAATTATTCAGATTGTTCTTAAGGGGCCACACTTCAAACTCTAAATCTACCTTGAGCTCAGATAGACACAATTTTACAGGAATCTCTTTTAGGGCTGAATTGCTCATATTTTTCTCCCATTGACAATTTGTATTAACCCTTGAAACTACAATCCCATTTCTAACCAAATTCATGGTCTACACTGTTTTTCTTAAAAATTCAGGAACTAGATAAGCCATAATTTCCAGTGTCTCAGTATCAGGGAAGAAGGAAGATAAAAAGTATCCTGTGGAAGTTAAGCTTCATATGTATCTATGGCATAAGGCTATGTTTCTTTTGCAGATGGATCAGATCTGGAGCTAAGACTTAAAGGTGGAGGTAGCCGCTGCGCTGGGACAGTTGAGGTGGAAATTCAGAAACTGTTAGGGAAGGTGTGCGACAGAGGCTGGGGACTGAAAGAAGCTGATGTGGTTTGCAGGCAGCTGGGATGTGGATCTGCACTCAAAACATCCTATCAAAAGTATTCCAAAATCAAGGCGACAAACACATGGCTGTTTGCAAGTAGCTGTAAAGGAAATGAAACTTCTCTTTGGGACTGCAAGAACTGGCAATGGGGTGGGCTTTCCTGTGATCACTACGAAGAAGCCAAAATTACCTGCTCAGGTATGACTTTCAGGCAATTTGTTAAGAAGTTTAATTCCAACAGTGTAAATTTCCAGTAATACCCTTGAAACTGAAAAGAAACATTGGTCCCTGTGACTACTAGATCACTGTCAAAAAAAACCAGAAAATATCTAGATGAATTCCATTGTGAGAGTCTTAGATAAACGTACAATTCATATTGTGCCTTAGCTGGAAGTATTTGGGGCTTGCTCACTTTGGCTTTTGAGTAACTTTTAAATCAATGGAGGTGTAAGAAATTAAGGGAGATTACAATTTTTAAGATAGAATTAAATGTATCTTTCATGGGAATGTCACCAAAGGAATTGAAAAATAACTATGTTGGATAATCTGACATGACTTAACCTTTGGCTCCCTCTATTATACTGTGAAACAATTTTCTTCTTTCTGAACATCTGTGGATATTTCATTGCAACCTCTTTAAAAAGCTCAAAGGTGAGCTGTGAGTTGGTTAGGCTTATGGGTAGTCTTTGGCATTTTATGCTATTTATATTTATAAAAAGGCTAACTTTGTTGAAAAGTGATGTCTTTTCAGCAAATTCAAGGTAATGAGTTGACATAACTCTTACTCATGTGGTGAAAAGACTTTGGAGAAAACGTTGTAAGAGAAAATCATGTAACATGTAGAGACCTAGTCACAGGTGGAAATTTTTATGCTCTGCATGTCCACTAACCAATGATATTGCCTCAGATACCTTCCAACCTATATCTGTGCCTAAGTGCCTTCCCCTGATATTGCAAATTGTGTTTAGGTCTGGTCAGGTGGAAATTATCCTTTGATTAAAAAAGTAATCATTTAAGACATAAATTTGAATTGCTATATTACCTTTCAAAAAAGATTTCTTGACCAGACAATATATTTACATAGCTTAAACTTCAAAATGTGGAAGTGTAAACTCTTCCCCCACTATTGCCCCCAGCTACTCAATTGTCCTCTTATGTAGTTGGAGCATTTATGTATCATTTAAGAGATACGTTATACAAATACAAGAAAATACAAGCAAATCCTTATATAGGTAAC